TGGGAATCGTGTTCGAATCCGAATGCATCTATCTGAGAGTGGTGAGAGCTAAGATTCAACTCACAAGAGGACGTTTCGCTACGTTTATAGGCCACTATGTGTCCACACTGTCTCATTCTGAAACAAAAGGAAGCGTGTTTTACACTAAGCTGTCAAACGTCATTCAATCGGTGCGCGCATGTGGACATCTTTTCTTAGTGAGCAGCTATAATGCTGGGGTTGGTCAAGATTCTAGAAGGATACTGCCACACTTTGGGACTGTATAAATAAACGAGAATAACCAATGCCTTTCCCGTGTGTGCAGATCAGAGGTGGAGCATTTGATTAGATTCTGTCTAGACATTGCAGGTGAAATAGGCCAAGAGTACGAACATACGCCCTTGATGGTGTTCTAGATTTACTGCCGTACGGTAACGATGACACAACAGCCCGACACACTGCACTCTTGGTATCAATGCGCAAGTGCCTATTGCACTAGATGCGTTCCCAAAGACAGTCGAATAACGTGCTGAACTTTTCAATTCGTGTGCTCATTCTGCCATCCAGTGTCAAACCTGTGGATGTTGTGGTGCCAAGATGGCGGAAATTCGCAAAGGGAGTTAACTCAGCCATTCAGGTGAGTGCTTAAAGACATTTGCGCAGAATGATGAAGAAATATCTATGTTCAAGTCAAAGCAAGATACCAATTAACTAGATGTTGCAGTACGCCACTTTAATTTCGCTTTATTAGTAAAAATTAGGACATAGTGGTCCGCAAACAGCCAAAAATGGACACTGGACGCGTACACCAGTGTTTTGGCTGAGAAACACGTCGATCTGAAACAATAACCATTCAGCTGTCGAATTCCTATGCCTTTATACATTGCACCCTCGCAATCTTGCGGAAGGTCCCCAAATTGTGCATAGTAGGTGGAGTTCGTTCTGCAGTCTCGGATCTCCCACTTTGAGCAAGTCCTTAAACAAGTCCTTCAGTTCCACTGCTCTCCGATTCTGCAGCTGTATTACAATCGTCTGCAGTTCTGGCACTGTAGGTAAGTCATCCAAGTAGGACAGATGAAATAAGTAGCTCCTCTAACCGGATCAGTAGTGTTGAAAAGTGATGTTTCCAAGCTACTAGAATTTGCTCGGAAGTGAAGAGTTCACCGGTCCATTAGTGGTCTATCAACTGAAGGTATTGAACTTTCAGTTCATACATTCGTTTCAGTTTCCGGAAAATCTTTGTGACAACGGCCATCTTGGAGCTCTTCTCTTCGTTTGATCAGCCACTAATTCTCTGTTTTCCGTGGGTGTTCCAGAAGCTGGATCCTGATGTTTCTGAGTTGATTACCGGTCCCTGTATTTACCAGATCTTGGACCGTTTTAACGAAAGCCAGATTCTTCTCTTGGATCAATGTGGACATCGATCGGTCATTCTCATCAAACCAATCTCACTTCCGTTCTTGTTTTAGTCCAATTATATCCACGGTAGCTGTTTGGAGTGTTTGGACCAACTACATAAAAAGTGACTGTCCACCAGTATTTGATTTAGGACTTTGCAAAACGTTGACTTAGTTTCCTACTGGTTCATCAAGCGCGACAAATGCCCTGACATGCATTAGTGGTTAACCGGTCTTGCATTCAGCTCAATGCATCATTTTCGCGAGATCTTCTTTGATGTGTAATCTTTTAGTAGTCTAGGTGCCCACGTGGCGAACGATGTTCCCTCACATTGAACCACGTGTTTGTAATGAAAGTTCCAACATTACGCATATCGTCAGTAATCTTCCATAACCGTTCACCGATCCAATCCAAATGGATCCAGTACCTTTTATCATGCTTCGGAGTCCCCCTCGAACCATTCATCGACGTCACCTAACAGGAAGAGGTCACTTGAAGGTGACAGATGTGGCAGTCGATCGATTACTTCGCTCATTTCCTCAACTAAGTGCGGCTTTATGAAGATATGGGGCTAGTGAATGCCACCATTAGAGCACTGAGTTTTCTAGGGTAATGTGAATTCTCTGTCTACCGGGATTTCGACATGAATTTTCGCATACATTTTGTTTTTGTTACCAGTGTCTTCGGAGAAACGCATTTGGTAGCCACTGACATAAAGAAAGGGCATCCATGAAAACCTTCAAGAAGTTTATCCGCCCGACACACAAGCAGTAATTATGCGGCTGATACTATCTAGACGGTTCGTTCGATTGTTTGACGAAATTCACTTTGAGCGAAGCCAGCTAGTGATCCTAAGCCAGCTATGATCCTATAAGGTGTACGTTTTTTTAATAAGTCTATCTAGTACCAAACGCCAGAGAGTTAAGGAGTTGTAAAGCTTGGGCTTTCCATTTTACGGTAACATCTCAGGTTGATAAGAATGACCTCTTAGTTGTGACCGAGATCGAATTTCGGTTGTCCAGGTGAAAAGCATCCATCTGAGACAACTTGGGTGGTAATACTTCTAGTATGTACTTTTTTGGAATTCGCAAACGTGACAGATAAACTGTTCTTACTGGACTAAAACTCGATGAATGCCACGCTTACCTATATGTAATGAGTAGGTTAAAACAGAGCACCACTGCTTATGTAGACATGTTAGGTTCATTAATACAGCAACAGTCATATCGGAACCCACAGGATTTCCCTTTCTTTTATACTGCGTTCACAACCGACCATCGTATGTCGTGTGACAAGGAAACACTTATGGATGTTCAGATTCACACTCCAAATAGAAGCAATGTACTGAAAACGCCTTGTGCTAACAATTCAATTTCACATGACAAATGCCAGATAAAATAGCTGACGTTATGAACACCGCTCATATGCTATCCCAGTGGGCTGTCCGTGACTGGATCGGAATCGGCCGATAACATAGACCGGGCAAGTGCACAACACCGTTCGATTACAATTGCAATACAGATAGGAGGTAATAAACACACCGTGGTGCGATGTAGGATAACTCAACAAGTATGGAGCAAACTCAGCTGCGCTGGTCGTGCATAAAAAAAGGTAGAATTCACATTGATCTTCATGTTCTTCAAGTAAAGTTACCCTCGTCTATGGGAATATGCTGGTGTCATCTTCTACTTATGGAGGAATCATTGCAAGCTTAGTCCAGTGGAACTCTCAATGAAGTCTTTCTTCAGTTTCTAGATCCAACCCACTCAGGAAAGAACAATTCTGGCCTGTTCCTTGAAGTTGTCCGTTCGTACAGCAACTGCACCTTCCTATTTGTTTAATATCTCCCCGGCCAGCTGCATCAGTTACATGTTACTGTGACCACCCGTGGTTAAAATGAAACTTTTTGAAGGAATAAATTTAACATGAATATAGTTATTTTGTTTTTATTTATTTACCTGGAAGCTCCAATATTTGAGGATTACAGCTACGGAGTTTGTGTTTGGAAGGCAGTGTGGTCGCACAATTCATCCTGTGGTATCACTTTATTACGCTACCGCAGCCAGCCACAACCACTGTACGACAAGTACGTAGTTGTTACAGCTGAAAATAATGGTGATGATGATTTCCAAAATGATCACCGTCTTCTTGCTATATTAGAACGTATCATTTTGTGGTTACGACTCTAGCTTAGCCACAAAAAAGTTGCTTTAAATACCGCAGACAAATGAAATCCTATGACAACGATGATAAAGTCCGGCGAGATGCGCCAAGTGGTTCAGACTTTAATGATTATTGGGACCGCTTCTTCCGGGTGAACGACGGAAAAACTGAACTGCCAGTCACTGGTAAAACGTATTCCTACCCCTTTTACTGATCAACTCATTGGACGAGATGGTCCTTTCCTACTCTTGCACTGCACACTACTGGAACTGAGCTAGTCTCTGTCTACTGCCTGCACCTTACTTTGCTGCAGCTGAACGGTGCTTAAGTCCTGTGATACCATCCTTATTGGTCACCTTTACAAAGAGGAGTAGCTCCTGTCACACATAGTTTGTTGGCTGCTTAAGGTTTCCCAACGAAAACAGCACTGAAAAATATCTACTGTTATTTCTACGGGTTGACAAGTTGCCTCTTCCACGGTTTGAATATGAAACCACTATATTGAGAACTAGTTTAAACTCACACTCCATACTCAAATCAAGGCGCTTTTGGTCACGTGTTCTGAAATGGGGGATTTATTGTATAGCAGTTCCGAAAGCAGTGCCACGTTGTGTGCATGCTGCCAGAAGATGAGGGAGACAATTAGACCTACTTCACTTCTCTTTGAACTCTTATTTCAATCATCATCGTCAGCTGTAATAACCACGTACTTGTCGTACAGAGGTTGTAGCTGCCACAGTTTCGTTCACCGATGATTTGGGGAAGTGAGGTAAGTAGCTGCGGATTGCAGGCAGGAGCTGATAAATTAGTTCGTAAATACGGCACTGTAGTTGGTTTAAACAGTGATTAGGGTATGAAGTATAGATCGCCACCTTGCTACCCATAATTTGGTGAGTAAACCCGCACGTTCGATTCAAGAGATGAAACTTCCCAGTGTGAGAAACTCTGTGTACAAATGGAAATGACTCATAACGTTCTATGGTTTAATTCACGTTGTTTAAGATTCCAATCCATCTTGAATATACGCTCCAAATACTGTGTATTCCTGAAAGTTAATCACCAAGCCAAAAAGTCTCATGCTCAAAGAATGGGACCGCATCGTCAATGCATGTAAGGAGGCTACCAAACACTGGGGACGGTTGGTGATCAGGTGACATCATCCGCGCGCGGAACGATGATGCAACCTCGACTGGTGACGAAACGTTTGAAAGCTGACTGCCAAGCTCGGAGAAGAGATTGACCTGATAAAACACCAATGGACGCATCCGACCTCATGTACACCGTCACTGGGGACGGTTTTAACGAAGCGAGGTAGACCAAGAGCAAAACCTATAAACTTCATACGTGATGGGTGTAACTTGTTTTGACCAAGGAACTTGTTGAATTAATAAAAAAGGTGAGAGTGAACACGCTGTGCCGCTGTGTGTATGCAAACAAATGATATCACTTAACGTTCATGGTATAAATCGTCATAGTGAAAGATCATCTTGTATTCGAGCAGGACATCATTCAACTATGTACAAAATACGATGTTTGTGTCCACATAAACAAGTTTAACGAAATTAGGTCGGCATAAGTTCCGTTCCGTTCCGAATCAAACACAATGGGGTAAGTTGTTTTTTGCCATCCACCGAGTGAAGTCGTTCCAACAACCGATCGATAAGCGTCGCGTAGGTTACAATGATGCGGTCAGTTGAACGGAGGTTGTTTTCACCGGAATCTGCATGGAAACGGTATAGTGGAAATCACTTCGAGAGAGGAAATTTCGTGAGAAATGCCATGGAAGCACTGAACTAGTTGTTTTCTTGTTGTGCTGTGCTGCTTTCGGAACGCCTTGACAAATAACTGAAGTCATACACACAGTCCAAAACACAAAATTCCGAAAGATAGGGCATGCGACTAATCATTTTTCGAAAGCTGAAGTGGACTAGGAAAGGCCGGTGGGGAACTCGGTGGTCTCAAAAGTTTGACGCAGCACCGTTTTGTACTCGATTGAGATTACCGTGAAACACCTACAACTGTGGCGAGAGATCCCTCTAACCCAGACGCGGATTTTTTCAATGACGGACGCCAAACCAATCAAAGTGCAGAGTGTCGGAGGGTCCGTTTTTGCAGCATTAAAAGTAGTGCATTGTAATAGGAAAATAGCTGGACCTTTGTTCACGTTTTATCCACACCTCACCTCCGCATTTCTTGCAAAACCTATCCGTAGTACTACAGATTGAAAGCCCCACTCGATGCACTGACCAAGCAAACCATCGAAAACACTGTAAACCAGATTAAGTTTCAAATAGATAACGTCTTGTTGGATTGAAGTGAATTGTGTTTGGGGCAAGGTGTCAGCGCCAACTAGTGCCGGGAGTCCGAAAAGGACCTTATTAGTTCCTTTTCTTCGAAAGAGAGTGTTCCAACTACCAGCATGTTCGAAGTACATGACTAGTTACCATTCCAAAGCGATAAATAACCAGCAAGATTCGACAACCGGTGATCACAACTTGTTCGAATGACGAGTAAAAATGTTAGTGAGCAACCACTTGAGATTGTTGACTACTGCCGTGTTCATGAAGCGAGATGAGGCGAGTGATAGAAAGACAGACAAAACAGATCAGGCAATATTTCCCAGTCTCAGGTGGATACAAGAGCAAGTAACTGCCATCGTGATCACACAACACCTTACAGTGATGTTGGCCCCGTGTTGCATGTTAGAAAAACGAATGTATTCACTGCTCGATGTTGGTTGGTTCTGCTTGGCTCTCCGATCAGATGTTTTGAACAGGCCAGCTAGCAGTAGTTTCCACCGGTTGAAAACACTGGGGAGAATAAAAAGACAGTTTGGTTGACGTGATTGTCTGTCTCTTGTGCCAGGTCGACTGGCCCCGTCCGTGCAGACAGACGGCCACAGTCAGCCGCTGAATGGGTGACCTGTTGACCAATTTTGAAACAGTTATCTTACCAGGACAAAAAATTCAATTTGATTTACGTAACGCTTAGTTAGAGCGCGAATTTATTGATCGGAAGGTCCGTGGTTCGAACCAGATCTCTGCCTCTCGACTTCCCTTGTCTAGGGTTGAGCAACCTGGCAGTATCCTAGCCGCCGTGCTTCCCTCGGGTGGAATGGCAGCTAGGCACCGAAAGGGTGCTACAGCTGAACGATTTATGTAGCTTAATAATCAGGCTCTGACAAGGTCTACTAGAGTGACTGACGAACAAACGTGAATCGAAAGCAATAAAGGCGCAGTGACTTTGTGGATTCTTCCGATAGTGAGGCGTGTTTTGAGCAGCGGATGAGTTATATTGCTGAGCTTGAAACAATAAGTCAGATACGGAATAATTTGGTTTTTCCCTGTCATTCACAGCCTATCCCTCACGCGACTAAGAATAAAAAACAAAAAAAGCTTCAGCGAAAACCTGGCGGAATCCTAACTATGTGGCGTCATTCCTGTCCATTTGGGCTCCAGAAGCTTGCTCCTGAAAACGTTTATCTTAGTCGAAGTCTTCTCGGCACGAATGAAGTGACTAAACGTGGTTCCGAGACTAAGCAACAGTCCCTCATGATTGGGCTTACTCATTAATTCGTCCGCCTAAATCAGTAAGTAATCATCACCCGACTACCCACTGTTACCGTCCACCAGTCTCATAATAATTGTGTTATGAAAACAATTTAGGGGAAGTTGCAAGGCGTTGGAATGTACGGTCACATATCTTCTAGATTCCCAAGATGTTCCACAATGAGAAGCATATCATGGAATGCACATTTTCACGGTATTGCGCTTAAAAAAACAGTCAACAGGCACAATAGGTTACCATACATTGCAGTGAGGCGCCGTCTCAAGTGCAAATTAACCGAAGAAAGGCCGCGACGCCTAAGGCACAGTGCAAAATGATCTCGACAATACAACCGATATGCCATCAATTATATTGACTTACCGTCAATTGAGTCTTCATTGGCCTCGGCTAACTCGAAGGGACATATACCCTCATCAAGAGCCCGGGCTAAACGAGGATCCAATGGGATGCGACCAAGAAGAGGAGGCTGGTTGGTGTCGCCAGCACCAGATGAACATAGAGAAGCAGCTCCTCCCGTCGTTGGTGGAAAAATGGATTCAGTGTGCCCACATGCTGGGCAGACGAATTCACTCATATTTTCCACTACACCCAAAATAGGCACGGATAGCTTTTGGCAAAAGTTGATTTCCTGAAATGGAAACCGGCGGACATCCAATTCACGTAAGTAAGACAAAACGGAGATTCACAAATTCCAGAATTGATAACAGTGCGTATGCTTGAATTCGCAACGCTCCCTGGTGAGGGATATGTATGTTGACCTTATGCCGAAGGATTTTTTTCAATGCGGCTGAACATCACTTACTTCAGGGAAAGTATTAAAATGAAGCACAAAAACGGTACGGATTGATTGTCCCTTCCAGAGGGTACAAACTGTGACAGTAGTGCAAGACCGAACAGAAATGGCAACCCGGCCAGATTCCGCCAATAAGGCAGAGTGAAAATGACGACAATTAATATCGTTCTGCAATCAACCAATACAGTGCAATGATGTGACTGAACAGTGAGTTTCGCTTCACGAGTTGTGAACTACCATCACCGTTAAATTTTAGAATTCAGATAGCTTCGAAGACGAGGACATCAGTCGGTAAGTCACAACAGCAGCGCCAATGGAGATGAGTTGAAAGATGGTGCGTAGATTTGAGCTGTGTACTTTCGTGTTCTCTTCGTCATCTTGTTATACCGACAATGTGCACTCTTCGGTTGTGGCTCTTGGGGCATACGAACCCAACACATATCGATCGTTCCCTCCCGAAATACCATCCGCTTCCGCGAATTCATGTCTAACTGCACTAGTTCATATAATGTCACTTTATTGCAGTGTATTAAAGCAACACGGTGAGTACGAAACTGATCCCTCAGAATGAAGAAGGGAGATCATCCAAGCTAAAGCCTACCGTGAGCTCGGATTTATGCCAAGGTAGCATATCAAACTACGCTAGACGATGCAACGTACGTGTGTGCATTGACTGAGTAACTGTATTTGTTCTTTGTATACGTTCGGTTGCGTACCCACCCAGGCTTTGTTCATTTGATCGACAATAAAGGTTGCGTGGGTTACTGGAACCGACTATCGTAATGACTTAATAACAGGTTAATAACTGAACCAGAAAAGTTCGCTATGAATAGGCTACAAAAATAAGCGGTGGGAGTCAACCTTCACGCTTAAAAATTTCATTGGCATCGAAGTGGATGGATGTGGACAGTAGAGGACTGGTTGCTGTGACAATTCAGTCATGACTCAACATGAGGGAACGGCCAGTTGAACCAACCAACCAACCAACCAACCAAAATTGTACGGGATCGTCTATCAATAGCTAGACAACGAAGGAAAGGGAACACGTGATTGTTTGGCAATGAATCCAGACGGTCGACAAGCTAACAAAACTACGCGACTGGCGGACAAGTGGGAAACGCATTCGTCAGCACATTTCCGCCGCCAGGGAGAATGACTAAGGCGAAAAAGCAGTTCAGACGTGCCAGTAGCAAGCCAGCGAGACTGTGTTAGATGTGTGGGGGAACAGAGTCCGACTGGACGCAGAGCGCGTGGGTGTGACCGTGTGTGTGTGTGTCTACCCATCTATGTCGTGGCCATCCACCTTGCCATTAATCACTGACAAGGCATTGTTGTATGCAGTTAGAATAAACAGTTGCCCTCATCCCAGTAATCAATAAAAATCAGGAAAGTTTAGAGTGCCGGGTCGTTTTATTTATGGCATGTGGAATGATTGTGTAGTCATGTGTAGTCGAACACGAGGACACACAAAGACAGTCGTCTACTATGCAATTCACCGTAGAACGTCGACGATTTTTTAATCGTCGAGGCTCTAAGAGTTCAGTTTAGTGAACCGCATGCAACGCGAAAAGTGGCAGAATACAGGGTAAGACGGAACAGCTCAACATAAAACGATTAGTGGGATTAGAAAGAATGGATTCAACGACAGGCCTGTTATTGTTCGCCCCCAAATCACATGTTGCCGGTTGTAGTATGCACTCAGAGCCTTGTACGAGCAATCAGGGGTGTGAGCAGGATAATTCCCGAGTACTCGAGCCGAGAATGTCCCACTTAGGTGGAGCAAGTACATCGAATGTGAACACCAAGATAAGGAACAAGGTTCGAAATTCTCTGGGAGTTGACGGCCACCGCCCTAATTCTACATATTAAGAACGTATTGTATGCATTCTTCGAATGCGGTTGGCGAGGCAAGCACACACTTGTCTAGCCCAAGGCCCAGATGACAGCAAGTCGTCCAAACGACAACTAATGGCTTGCTGTGCAACACTCTCATGCGAGTGTGGCTCCGTTCTAGTGTATAATGCATGCATTGGGATGGGTTGATATTACAACCCTCCTGTACTGAAAAGCCAAGAAGCGCTGCACAGCTGTTTCATCCTTGTTGGGAATCCTCAACAGCGTGCATCACACGAACCTCGAGGGGGCTTCGATTCCGCTACCTGTCGGACGGAACCTGGGTACTCCACCATTTCACCGCAAGTGACTGACCAGCAGTGTGCTTAAATCACGGTCAGATAGGATAAAGCGCCACTCATCAACCACGGATGCAGTTAAGGTCATGCGCTCCAGTGTTTTCCGGCTCTTCGGGCAACACCGTCTAGGAAGAAGGCCTGTATGGATCGCGATGTGACTTCTCCTCTGAGCAGATTTGCTAATACGTTAGGGTGCAGGGAGACTGGGAGTTATAAAGTGGATTTATCTTATAGTGCCCCTCAAGAGGAGAGAGAGTGCCCCCGAGGAGAGAAAACCTCCAAAAAAGAGCAGTGGATCTACCAATACCGATTTTTCCAAACCTGGAGAAGACAGGGACCATCCAAAATATGCGAGGCAAGCTGAAGTGAACATTTCGAAAAAATTTCCGGCATAAGCTCCAAATTGAGCAGTGTGATGGAAATAAATGGCAAAAAGACCAGGAGAACACAAAGAGGTTCATTAGGTTCATCAGTGCGTCCTGTCTAATTTTAAAAGGATTTCCTCAACTCCGAATACTGATACAACTCAGCTTTATTTCCAGTTTGAACTATCACACCAATTCAAAGCACTGAATGTCGAAGCCATTCAAAGGGCAAAGTCACACAAAATGTGATAGAATGAATATTATGGACGAGAATAAGGGGAGCGTCAATCCATCCAACACCTTCAGACTTTAGGACTGATATTCGAAATCGTTTGAAAAACCATTCTTGATGCCGTACATTGTCTATTTCTGGCTGTTTTGAGAACTACGGCTTTACCACATCCGTACAACTGAGCCGCGTCCTTTGTTCACTTCTGAACTGTACATTCTTGAAACAAAAAATGTTCACCTGTAGCAACCTTTCGGATATTAGCTACCGTGCAACTGGAAAGAAGCACAAGGACTAGGGTGCTTCCGGGTTGTCCAATTTTATATGGGAACAACCAAAAAGCCAGGATCTTCCGGTTAGTAGTTTTGCGTTGAGCTATCTTGACCTCAGTACTGTGAAAACCTACGCTTTCATCGGTAAGTTATCAGATGTTGGTGATTTCACGGATAAAGGATAACGTACCCTGCTGGTGGAGAATAAACTTGCTGCTCCCCAGAAGAAGAAAGGGATGAGAATAATCTCAAACTAACGGCTGCCAAAAATGTGGAACATGCCGCACGATCGAATTGGTTCACTCGCATCTCATCGCCGGCTTATTACCTATGGTAAAACAGTTACCCAGAAGCAGTTCCGCTGAATAGTTGATCCAGAACTTCGGAAAGCTAATGATGGAGTCGTCTGTAATCTCTGAACGTCATTTTCTGTTCATTAACAACTAGCCAGGATACTACACGGTGAGGGAACCATGCGTCCCCTATGAAGATGTACGTGTCATATCCCAGTTGCAGCTTGAAGGTTATTACATATAGTTATAGGTCTGCGAAGTCATTTTTCTAACAACAGCTGTTTCGGTTTACTGCTAACAAGAGACTGTAGATGTTTCGTAGCCATATTCGAATTTAATCCTTGAAGAGGGGTATGATTTTGACCGGTTCGTTGAAAGGATTACTGTACAACTGAACTCCACTTACGATGAAAAACCAAAAACCGAAGTGCAACTGCCTCATTTCAGTTGGTGATCACCGACAGTGCTCAATCAGTGCAAGGGGATTCGAACCCGCAACCTTCCATATCTGAGGTTGATTTCTTCCATCAAATGAGGACTCAGTTGGGTTACAAAGGCGTACTCTGAATGCAAGGCAACATAAAGCGACGTAACAACAAACTGGACAGAAACACACTCGTCAGACACAGACTAACTGATCGTCTGTCTAAGTATACGACACATCACCCAAGTTGTCCGCACAGTTGCGAGCAATGTTCCACACAAGTAGGGTGTCAGGAAAAGTGAACAGAGAAATGTCATGCAGATATCTGCGACCAAGTCGTTTTTGTAATGATGTATAGCAAGTTTGAACACCTTTAATCAGTTACAGGTGATTGGTTAACAGTACAGTTCTCTGGCGCTTATCAGTAACCTGTGAAATATTGTTTCCGAACCTATCAGCATTACTGGAGCGGCATTTCATTTACCGTGGGTCGCTTCAAGTGACGTCATTCATATCCGATCAACTGCGACCAGAATAAAACGCACCATGTGAAGCGGCTTTTCACATTACACAACACTTCAGTGAGCACTGCGGACTCTTTCCAAAATTCGAACACAAATAAAAAAGACAGCTATCCGAGTGGGGAATAAGTTAACTCACTCGCTTTCGATCCACTGAAGATGATAAGGAAACGAGTAGGACTGCAACGCGGGAACTCACCTTACGCACATCACTTAGTGAAACTTCCTGTGGCGTAGTTACAATCACAGCACCATCCAGGCAACCAGCAGCCTGTAGGTACTGTACCGAGGACAGGTGTTCGTCCGAGGTACCTGGAGGTGTATCAATCAACAAAAAGTCCAAATCTTCGTTTGCCTCTGTCCAACAAACATCGGTTAATAATTGACGGATTAAAGCGTTCTTTCGGGGTCCACGCCAAATCACTGCATGATCAGGACTTGGAAGGAGAAAGCCAACAGACATCACAGCCAGATTTTCCGACACAAAAACCGGTGACCATCCTGACTGACTTTGGTGAACCTGTAGGGGTAACGTTTGCACAGATAGCACAATTAAGAGGCAATACCACAGAAATGCTATCCCTGAGGACAGCTGGACGACCACAAAGGCGAAACGTGACACTCAGGCAATAGAAATGGGCACATGATCCGTTACCGATGTAGTGCCGGGCGCACCAGAATACGGAAGACAGAAAGAAGCAGGGGATCAACTTTTTGAAATGGGTCAGCTGGATGCCTCGCACACTAGTGACTAAAGGAAGACTGCAGCAAGCCACAGGTCACTTGATTGATTAATGATACACGCTGTGGATTGGAAGGTGAGAGTGATACGTTGTATCGGATACAGACTCCGAAGTCTTTTTTGTTCGCCCTTCTCACTACATTCATTACACGGACAGTGAATGGATGTAGCGCACAAAAGCATTTGAGTAGGACAGGTCACCTGATAGAAATAGATCCGCCTTGGTTTTCAGGATGTTCAACTATATACACTGTGTCGTACTACTGACCAAAGTGGAAAATAAGAGAGTTAAGCATGTCATCGTTGTTTCGGGAGCCTTTTCCTAAAAAAAAGAACTCACTATATGAAGATAGTAGCCAGAACGGTGACACAATTCATCGTGTATGATGGACGCGTTTCTGGAGCGTGCATTGGAGGACGGTACTACTGTGACACTTCCTGAAATCTAATATCAAGTTTATCTACGTTTGGATAGACGGAAGAAGCTCAGTCAGAAGCTGCGCTGGTTGCTATAGTGAGTATAACTTGAACAGACAGTATGTAGATGAAAATTATCGATATTTTTCATGCAAACTAGATGGGACAAGCCTTCAATGAACTGTTTAACACAATGCATTGGAGATAAGCGACCTAGAACAGATAGGAAAATAGTCGCTGTTGAGACTAGTGGTGCACCGGACGGAGGAGAGAACTATGAGTTGTCGTAAACTCACTGACTGATACTTTTGATTATTGCTTCGTGGAAAACTGCTGCGTTGCCGTTGAAGGATGATATTTCGGACAAATTGCCGACACAGCAACAACTATTTCGTTGTTTCACGTTTCACGGGACTGGGTTGATGTGGTTGTAATTTTCGGAGCTGGGTAACTCTATCAGGTTGCTAATAGGCCTTTATATGAACCACGTCTGAGAGTTCAATGTTAGTGTAATGTGATACTACTGATGGGGAGGCATGCGAGTAGTATGTTTTCTCGCTAATTCGCTTTACGTCCCGGGAAAAGTGAGATAAAAGTTAGCATTTTCTAGTAAATAACTCCACAGCGAAAGCCTTCTTCCCTTAATCAATAGCCTACTGAAAGGCTATGCAAGCCCACGAGAGCGACCTCAAAGAAAGCAACCCTCCCCCGAACAAGCGCAGGGAAGTAGTCGTCCCAGTTAGAAGATATCGTCGATGTTGGTCATGCACATTATATCTACAAGGCAACTAACGCTAACCCATTTCCGAAATCACTGAATAAGCTGAATATGAATACTTATATATTTATTGGTCGATAAACATAAGAGAGACATTAGCGAATATACACTCATTTGCAAACTAATTTGGTTGTTTTTTCGGGAGACTCACCTGGAACCCAGCTGAATCTCTCGTGTATGGTGTTCTCAGTCAACTGAATGTGCTTCACCAGGCCGCCTCATGTTTCAGTCGCTACGATATTTGGAATATCGCGATACATGTATATCTTTGTAATGTACTACTTATAAGGTTGCTGAGAATCCGTCGACAGCCCACGACCGGTTTCGCCCTCGTTGGGGCTCATCAGGTAGGCACAGTCCCCGGGTTTCCGTCAACCTTATGTTCTACTTGAAACCAAATTGCACGAAATCAGCGAATATACACTCATTTGCAAACTAACTAAGGAAAAAAAACAAATTAGTTTGCAAATGAGTGTATATTCGCTAATTTTGTGCAATTTGGTTTCAAGCAGAACATAAGGTTGACGTGGGCTGTCGAGGGATTTTCAGCAACCTTATGAGTAGTACATTACATAAGAGAGACATGTTGAACCAAGGGTGGACAGTGTTAAACTGTGACTACTGGACGTGCATCCTATTCCTCAACCTCCATTCATGTTGTATCATTACGCCCCAAGGATTTCCGGAATTGACTTCCAAGTACCTGGAACAGCTTTGTTCAGTTCGCACTCGTGATCGATAGCTGTATTTTGGTACACTCGGGGGCGAGATGGCCCAATTGGTTAGAGCGCGAATTTACTGACCGGAAGGTCCGTGGTTCGAGCCCGACATCTGCCTCTCGACTTCCCCTGTCTAGGCTTGGGCAAACTGGCAGTATCCCAGCCCTCGTGCTTCCTTCGGGCTGCATGACAGTTAGGCACCGAAAGAGTGTTACGGTTGGACCAACGCTCAGTGTACTCCCACAAGCTTTAAACGGGTTCAAACAAACATTGCAATTTAGCCACTCCAGCATTATGATGTGACGGAACTGAAACCAGGTCCTCCTGGGTGGGACACTGCGCTGTCCCATTGAAAACCAACCTCGTCCTGCCTCTTTATAACAATCAACAGCAACAACAGTGATCGTGAGGTGTGCACGAATCGTGGATGACATGCACTACAGTCAATTCGCTCACTTTACGATCCAACAGGAGATCCCATGCTAGCAGTTCGATTGAAGATTCACCACCTGATGTGCGTAGACCTATTGTTTACTTAATCTAAACTGATGTTTTCTGTATGGGTCTCACACTAGTGCCACCCCTGTGCAACTGATTCATCGTCATCATCATGACGGACAGCATGACATCAGTGTTCAACACTGACTCACACGCAGCATGGGGCGATTGGGTCAACGTGGAGGCATGAATTTCAGCCTATGGACTAGACACTTCAAGATCTGGCTTACATCCCCTTCAGAAGGAAAAAGCAGTTCAGCTGTGCAGACCGAAAATCGAAAGAACTGCTCTTGCGAAAGAGAACCACAGTATTCAAGTATGGTTGTGCTTGAGCGTATTCCGCACAGATGAGACTGATATGTTGACACTAAGCACTAACCAAGCTCCGATTACTTCGTAATGGAATTCGAAGGTTGAATGTTGCTGCGGAGCGCCATTTCCATCACTCCGAAGTGTCTTCATGTTTCTAGACCATTACAACCTCACCGCAGTGTTACACACATCAATATAGACCGCATGGAGCACTTTACTCTTCTGTTTCTCTGCGCTGCGCAGAGACAAACAGCATGAATCTATCTTCGTTCCACTGTTTTGTTTACAGTTTGTTAGTCATATACGGTGACCGAAGAAGCGAAATCCAAACGGTAAAACCTTGCATTTTGCCTTCTCAATGCACTTATTAAATGGTCCGAAGAAGGGCGGTGCTTCCAATGAGCGAAACGTCGAAAGCAAGATGAATCGATTGTATAGTGTACCGACAACTCTGGTGGTCGCTCAGTGACACGACCATTCTGTTACATCGATTCCGCAGAGAAACAAACACGTCATAGGAGAGAGACAGATACGAAGTAAGGCAGGTGTAAGAGCGCAATTGCAGACTAGACTACAAAGCAAGCCAAGTGAGCTATGACTCGAAGCAGTCTTTCACTCATTGAAAGTGTCTAGACAATGGGATGGGAAATTCGATCATGTCTACCTAGCCATACCAAGCGACAGAGCTCAACAGTGCGACTAAACCGTTGTGTACAGGAGGTGCAGAGAATCTGGAGAGAGAGAGAGAGACAAAGTCGCGTATGGATTTCGGTCAAAGTGAAAAAAATCGTTCAGCTATGGCACTCTTTCGGTGCCTAGTTGCCATGCTACCCGAAGGAAGCACGAGGGCTGGGATACTGCCAGGCTGCCTAAGCCTAGACAGAGAAAGTCGAGAGGCAGAGGTTGAGTGCGAACCACGGACCTTCCGGTCAGTAAATTCACACTCTAAATGCTGAGCCATCTCACCCAAAGGTCAAATTCAACGGGAAGATCTGCTGCTGCACTGCAAACCAGGCCAGGTTTGTCGGCTTACCGTGATTTACCACACTTTTTACTATCAAGAATTACAGGGTTACAGAAGCCGTTTCAAGTTATAAGTCATCTCCAATCACCAAGTGTAATATCTCACTAGGGTTTCTGGGCCTCGTATCCTCGTATTCCAAGACTCCTCTGGCAGCAGATGCATTTTTTTGACTAAGAAAAAACTTCAACGGAGAGACCAAGGTCTTTGAACACTGTAGTCGGCCCTGTAGAATTTATTCTGCAGAATCTAGGAGAACAGCGCTCCGTAGAAAACTCCACCACTTGGTTAGAGGTTAACGATGAGTGATCGGCAACAGCTAACACGAATTACGAATCGCGCGGCATTACCTGTCTTTCCTAGTGGAGTACGGTCATTCAGAGTACAAAGACCACCGGCCGTCTGACGAGCCGCACTTTGCGTTCTCACGTGTACACGACGTTCCATTTACTTATCTTAACAAGATGTCATTATCTCCGAGGCACTGTGTCAAGAATTGCTGATTAGTACTGTTCTTACAGACACTTATTTCAGCGAAACACCTATAAATGAAAAGTTTTTTGGACCCATTAGACAGCTGTCTTTAGCTTCTCCAGAGCTTTCTATCACAAAATCAAAATCTCCGTCCACCTTGCCTTAGACGACCAAATCCCGTAGCAACAATTATAGAAGTGGCACTATTAACCTTCACCATATCCAGGCCTGCACGCTGATAACAGGATAAGCTAACTTAAAAACACAGCCCCATAGAGGTCACATCTAAAGAATGTTCTGGGTTACAGAACCATGTGAAGGGCGACTCTGCGCGAGAAGCAGCTATCGATAGAGAGGTAACAGGAATGAGGTGCGTTGGTGATAACCTACGTGGTCAGGATTGCTAAAAGGCGCAACCTAGTGATTGTGAAATATGTGGTTCGAGACTTTCTTTCAAGAAGGCTCTCAGCTTTTCGAGAAATACACTCATATGCAAATCAATTCGGCTTTTGCGAGAGATTCAACTAAATCTCTCGTTTATGATATTCTACAACTGAATGCGATGCACACAGGCCGCCTCATGATTCAGTTGGCACGATATTCGAGATATCGCAGTACATTTTCATAAAGGAACCTACTCACAAGGTTGCTGAAAACTCTTCGACAACCCACGACCGGTTTCGCCCTTCTTGAGGCTCATCAGGTGCCCAAAGTCGGTCATCTTGTTTCGCGTTCTGAAGAAGCAGCGGCTTCCACAAATACAAAATGCATGCTGGAAAGCATGCAACAGTTCTGTTGCACCGCCGGAGCATTCAGAATCACCTAAGAAAGAAACATTGTGGTTTCTCGGTCTATCCTGTGCGTTAAAGTGTACCGGAAAGTTTGACTAATTTGGATACATCGTTTGCTTTTCAATCTTCTCGCAGAGAACCTAATAGATGTCAAGTATGTAAGGCTTGGACTTGAAGATGTAATTATAAGACGAGATGTGGTTAATCGTGTAAATAAATCCGCCAGGTTGACGGAAACTCGGGGACTGCGCCTACCTGATGAGCCCCAAGAAGGGCGAAACCGGTCGTGGACTGTTGAAGAGTTTTCAGCAACCTTGTGAGTAGTTTACTTTATGAAAAAGGCTCTCAGCTGTTTGGACTCCAAAAAAAAACAGCTCAATAACAATGACCGACCATTGCGGTACGGTTCCGAGTGGGATGTCTTGGTTTGAACAGTGACAGATTCACCTCAAGCTGACACCAACTAGCGAAACTTATGACCTCGTGGAAGGACCGCGATCAGAATCAGTTCGATTCAGCTCCTTACCATGGAGGTATGCTTCTTAAGCCTTGTGAAACAGCAGATCGGTTAAGGGGTGTTTTGAGATGGACTTGCTCGTCCATTTTAAACGCTGCAATCAGATTCGTACGCAAGAGCACAAAATTAAAGTGTGTCTACCAAACATAGCCATTAGACGAAGTCACGGCAAAAAGTAACAAGCAAATGCGTGAAAATGTTCAGTCTGAGTTCAGAACTAATCGGGGTTCGTAATAATCGGTCTTGAGAAGCGTGGTTCCGGTGAGTTGCCCGACTACAAATGTCCTGTCTGCCCATGGAAGCAGAACTAAGTTAGTTAGTTCCCGGTTAAAGTCGGCAATCCAGTTATGTTTGCGCAGTTCGCTTCGTTTACTCCGACACTACTGAATCACCGAACGATGTTGTACAATTTAGCAAGCTCCGGAATTCAGCATCCAAACCAAGTCAAGTTCCCACGCACTGACGGCGTTAATAGCCACGTACGTGTCCGTTAATCATATCATCAAGAATGGGACTGAATTCCAGGTTTGATTTCCGCAAACCTAATGTTAGTAATCACTGTAGAAATGAGACTGAATAAATCTTGTGAACTTCCTCGAACGAGGACACTACTGAAACGTTGGCATGATTAGATTTTTCGAATCAATTTGAATTCAATTCATAGTGAACAGGAAGCATCAGAAACTGAAAATCTTAGTTACCAAGTGCATGTTTTTCATCCTGTTTACACATCTATTGGCAACCTAATAGTTCACGTCATTGAACCTGTCCCGCTCGATGAGCTGAGTAAGTCAGAAACTTTGCTGCACCAAGTAGAGTGACATCATCTATACAACCTGGGAAGCAGCCCTTTTAACAAAAAAGCCATGATCACTTTTCAAAGAACCTAACGGCTGAGCCCGGATGTGAGGAGAACACCTGAATGCAATGAGTTCCTCAATTTCTCTTGGTACTGCTCATTAAAGGTTGACCGGCAACATGAGAAAAATAAGGCGGTCTCTGCTACTCTCTAGAGTACGGTCACACGAGTTGTCTCATTTCATTTCTGTACGCGTTTAGATTGGGATATGTAAGAATAATTCATGGATTGCACGAGTACCGTGAACAATCCAACCTCAGTTTCGTCGCTGTCCTACCCTGATGTTATGTACCGAAGCTAAAAAAGCGCTGGTGACCAGTCCTCTAGCGTCTTTGATTACACCAGCATTCACTTATATCCTCTGAGGCTAATGTGAGTGCGAAAGACATAGATATCGACAATTCTAATTGCGTCTTCATACTTTTCTTCTGAGCAAGTTACAGCACGTTTTGCCATGACTTCAATCTTTTTAATACGCCTGGTGTTAATCGCCATCACGGTTTGTCTGGCAGCGACAGACAAGGATGTTGCGCTCTAAAAGTGCAAGTTCTTGCTATAAGATGGATCAAAAAGGGCTACAGTTCGTCAATCAGCACTTCATGGCCACCTTTTTGGCTAGGTTCTGGACCTGACATCCCTAAAAAGCTTGCAGAGGTGACCAGGGTGAAAAACTTACTACTTCCAGATTCTTCACGTTTCTTATTGATTGTGATTTATTTACGTATTCATTCCCTTTATTCTTCAGCGACGACTGGTAGCTTATCTTCGCAATTAGTGAACTGCATTTGAAGTTTTTTTGGTGGGTTAAAATGATACGCCTAAGTCTATTGTTGAATTTTGCTGCGGCCCAGCTATCAGTAAACCTGAAACCTGCAATTAACAGGACTGATTAAATAATGCTGCTTTAAAACGCCCAAAGTTTGGAGACGGATTCTGTTCCGTCTGTAGCATTGTCGTAAGTGCAAGCCATCGAAAGCTACTGCTCGTCCGGTTGGAGAGCTTGGATCAACTTCACCAAACACCGATGTCCACACACAATCGTCCGATTGCTCTATCTCCGGTGCCACGCTCCAGGGTGATCAGATGCGCGGCGCCGCCTTGATTGCCTGACTCAGGTTTTGTGTTCCCCAGGAGAACGCGATAGTTGGTTTTCATGAACAACACACCAATAGCACACTACCCCCCAGAAACTTAATTTAAGAAGATAGATCGAACTAGGTAGCGCATTCTCAATGCTTGCCTAAAACTCACTTCCAAGCACCTTTGTTAATTTGGGCACGCAACTTTCTAACTACTTATGCCACCCGCAAGTAGTTAATCTGCTTTCCAAAATAATACACCCAATGTCAACTTTGCGTCCAGGACCAATCTGCCCCTGCTAATGCCAGGCTTCACAACCAAACAACGGAACAGTCTGCACTGTAACCCGTATACACGTCCCTTTGAGAATAAGGAATATACCACTTCACCGCTATAGATATCTAAAATAAGCAAAAATGATTTAGGCCATAGAGGTTCACGCACTGGCTTTACGTCACTACAGTCGTAGCTCCGCAGCCTCGAGTACCGCTACTTGATGACGTGTTAATGAATGCAGCTCCGCAGCCTCGAGTACCCCTACTTGATGACGTGTTCAATGAATGCATGCCCAGGGGAATGAAATTCCACTTTGTGCGTGCCTGTTGAAGGACGGAACTACTTTGGTCATTTAATTACGAAACGCCAATGTCTTTCTTCTGTTCGAAAACGAGGTCGACAATGTTTTCGTCGGTAGCCATCTGAATTATAAGATTTCTAAAGACTTCCAACTTTCGTCTCGTTATCTCTTCGATCATGAAAGTGAGTATCCTTAGCGGACATTGCTTTTTATATGGATCTTGAGGGGCTTTCCATATACTCTCACACCTCCGTAGGTCTTAAAAACAGATAAATGATTATACTCACAAAGCTCGGGTGAAATTTTCGGCAAACAAGTGTCCTAAGAAGAACGAACTGTTATAAAGATGAACATTCCGTGATATTCAAAGGAAACAAAAGATGAGAATCGCGTATACGCACATTGTTCTAGAACCTAACGGAGTGTACAGATTTGGTCAACGCAACTCCTATTGGGCCGAAGTTTCACTTGTTGCTTTCAAATAAAATATTCGGTCTATCGTGACACGACGAGGTCTCTTGACGACGGAACTCAATCTCTTTCTCACCCACTACTTTCTTCTTTCTTGAAAAAGGGTACTCCTACTAATTCTCCCAAGTTAAGTGGAACAATCTACCTTTCCCCGAATGAAGCGGAGGCATGGCGATGGGACAAGAAAGACAATGAGTGGGGAACTCAATTCCATTCTAGAACAGTGAGAGTGAGAAGTTGTAGCGACCCATTCACCCACATACTTGACTGTTCAACTCACAGTCGCTCACTGGATCGCGAGGCTTGTCTTTTTTCTCATACGCACAAACACATCGCAATAAGCTGACTCATCGGACATCGATTGTCTGCATCGCCTAGTCGGCGTATCAACCACCCATGTGCCGACGCGCCCACGTATACGCACTGGGACCTACATAAAGGGAAACCGAACCCAGTCAGGACACACAGACTCGCGCGCGCGCAGGGAGCAAGGAGTCAGCTCAAGCACTCCAAGTCCACGGACAATCATGGAACACATGTAGCAGCCAAACTGCGGAGAAAACACGTTACCGCCGTCCGGACTTTCACCAAGGGACTCCCACATCCGATAAGTTCCTTTTTTTTTGACTTGTCCCCATTTCACATTGTATTCATTTTTATACGCGTTGCAACCCTCCACTGTCCACCATACTATTAGTGCACACACATCTTCTGATTTGTATTATGGCTATCTCCAGCTGTGCACTAATAAAGTCACCCGGACCAGGAGCTTGGCGGCGCTTGAGAGAACATAAACTGCCATAAACCCCCAGAGCCGTACTGGGTTCCAGGTTTACTGCCCAGCGGTTTATCGCAGTTCGGAAAGCTGACAGAGTATCAGTAGGTTGTAGGTTAGTGTCTAAAGTATTCAACCCAGCGGTCAAGACGTCCTTTATTGAAGATAGCCGCACCTGATTGGTATCACTCACAGGCAGTGTCAAACCAACCGAAACAACCTTCAAGCATTCACACCAGGTCTCACGGTCGGCGCGCACGCTGATTCTCATTCTATGTCTGATAATTCACCTGAAACGCTTCTCTAAGACTAAACTAGTGTCACTGTTTTGTCTGATATGCAGTGTTTGAGTGAAGCTAACGGTGCTGTGCGCAGGGGAAACTCTGGGCATGCGCAAAAATGTGGTGATCTCGTTCTAGAAAGACCTGACATCCGACCGTGGAACAGTTTGAAGAAAGTCCAGCAGATGATTCTGGTAGAATCTTTTAACTTGTGGATTCACATCCCCGGCAACCAAAACGAAATCTGAGCTTCTAACCTGCCCTAACAGGGCATTTA